AAACAAATGTAACTTAAAGAGTGTATCACCAAGTTATTTTTAATATTTAAAACACCAGACAGAAGAAAAATAATTTTTAAAGGAGTAAAAAAAAAAAACTCACCAATTTTGATGTATCTGCAAGGAAACACATGGTCTTCAAGTCTGTGTTTTAGTTGAAAGGTTTCTTTAACATGATCATTCTTCAAGCCACTAAAATACAACCAGAAATAGAAGTACCGTACTTATCCGGGTAAGAGCCCATGCCTGGATAAACGCCCACCCCCAACTTTTGACACAATAAAGAAGTTGAGGTCATATTCGGGCACACGCCCAGGGGGTCTTTTTCTACACAAAACAAAAAAAACTATTTTCTATTCGTTGACTGTGGTTGTATTAATAGTTGACTTTCTTGAAGTCAGTCGTGTTACTTATAAAAATTGTTAATTGCGTAAAACAAGGGGTGAACGCAAAATAGCTGTGACAGCCTTCTGCCTTCAGGGCAGCGCGTTCACCGCTGATTTTTTTCAGAATCATAACAGTCAGCAAGTCTATAAAAATAAATATAAAAGCAGAAACAGTAGTTCTCTTTTTGAAATATGTCGTGGCCCTAAAAAGGGCCGGCCGTTTGGTTGTACGTCCATGGATTGTGCTTCCTTAGAAATGATTCAAACAAATCGTATAAGGAGAACCGCTAAGCAAGTGTCGCACTCGTTTGGCTTTAGCGTCGTCGACAATGAAAACAATGTTGTAATATTGTAGCAACCCGTACATGGGAGAATGGTTGAAATCGCGTTATTTTGGCTTTATAAATATTTTGTAGCAGCTTGCGAATCCATAACTGGGGCCAGCAATTTTGCAATGTCACGCCGAAGACTGCCAGCTTTTTTACCATCTTTTATCATCCGTATTGCATTTCTGTCATGAAAACTATTCTTGTCGTTGGATAAAAAAAACATTCCACCGCGATATCCATATAGTGAGACATTCCAACCGCCGGAACTTGCTGAATGATAACTTTCACTGTGATTAATAAGCGTCAAGTCTGATTTGAAAGCAATGTCACGGTTTGACCTTTATGATGAAATACTAGTAGTGATGTCATTCTTAGCCAATCAGTAAAGCAGATGCATAAAGGTCAAAGATGATTGCTAGACTGTAAACAAAAGCATCGTGCGCCATCGCTGCAGAGCGACCCCATTTTTCTTGTCTCTTTATTATGATTAGACATGAATGAAAAGTGCCAAGCTGACAGACTGCGAAATCCGTGGATTAAAAGTGCTAAGTCCAAATTGTGTGGGACGATGTCGACGAACTTCAGGAACAAGTTGTAGGGATTTTGTTCGATGGCTACAGTGACACCGATTTGGATATTTGAGGGTTTTGAGTTTGACGAAGATGGCAATGAACGTAAAATAAAGATCTGAGAAGTTTTTTTCAAACAGCTATGAATTTTTATAATTTTTACTGTGTAAATTTGTAAATTATTATTGATCTTGTATGACGGTTGATTCGTAATTTGTCGAAACCGGAAATCATTTTATGCAGTTTAACCCCTGACATTTTAATTCATTTTTAGTTCACGCGTATTGGGCGTGTTTGTCGGCAGAAAAATCCTAATTCAAATGATTCCTCACTGTCGATTTTTATTATTTCTGGTTTATTTGTCACATCATAAGCAATACATTATTTTTGTTTTACTTCTAGTGTTACATATTGTTCATTTATTTCCGTTGCATGTTTTCATTTTGCCGTTCTATTCCCTGCCGCAGTTCGAGCTGCGTGTTGTCAATTTTCGCGAATTTTAGTTTTTTTTTGCCGGGGATCTCCTGGCAAACGCCCACCCCTTCTTTTTGGCAATTTTCCATGTTCAAGACCCTGGGCTTATACCCGGATAAATACGGTACTATAATATTATACTACAATTAATGATCAACTTTTTCACCACTAGACTTTCTTGCCCAAATTTGTCTGCACTTTTTTTCTTAAATTCTTCAACATTTCAGGAAATCAAAACTAATTTTGGAACCAACAGACAACAGAGTAAATTTTCAGTTTTTAATCAAAATGTTTGACTATTTTTGTCCCAAGTTGATATAGACAAATCATACCTCTGTAGTAATTCCATCATATTGTCTTCACTCAGTCCACCATACACTCTGAACTTCTTTAAATTGCACACATGGGTTTTCTCATATTTACCAAATGTAATACTTTCAACTACAGACAGCCTTTCTAATTTCATCAACAAGAACTGAAAGTAAATATATACAGTCTATGAATTTTACTTGAACCAAGGTCCTCTGATATTGATGCTTTATTTTCGCTATTTTTGCTGAAGGAATGAAAGCAGGCATGGTTGTAGATGAATTTTGTGTGGTTCTCCAAAATTAAAAAAACAAACAAGCAGCCCTGAAGCAGCAACTGTGTATGGCCCGGTATACTTACAGGTAATCAATAACACACAGAAATGCACTTATATTAATTTGGGGACAGAAACAACACAATTGCTCTGTGTGTTGTGATACATGTCTTTGGTGGGTAGTTTTTTTTTTGAGGGTGGGAATCCATACCTGTGGTGGGTAATTTGGGAA